AGTTAATAAACTCTTGAGATTTGGATCAAGCAATTCAATCAATTAATCAGCCTCAAAAATAAAGAGAAAAAGAGCTAGATTTAGCAAAATAGAATATAAATTAGGGAAACCAATTCAATCACAACTCTCAAATCAATACAATACATAACAAAAATCTTCCCATTTATTGAACACCGATCTTCCAATTATAACCAAATCTGCCTTCATTGAGGAAATTTCTCAAGCAGAAAAAAATCATTTTGAAACGGATTTGTATTAAGCGTTGTTACGTGATGTTAAGCGAGCGAGGGACCGAATCCAATAGCTCGACATTGGAACAGAATTGAACTGAGGGTGATAAAATTGATAAGGTTTCATCAAAGAAATTTGAACTATTACCACGAGCAGGTTGAAAATTGAACTAACGCATGAATTGAAGGATTGAACTGACGCCAAGAATGACTTGAGAAATTGAACTATAACAAAATTGAAAATTCATGGCAAGAACAAGAATCTCAGGTTAATTTTGAGAGCTTGAATTCGTGAATCGACTTGATGGAATGAAGCCTTTTCAAAAAAAATTGGACTAAGATTGAATTCAATTAATGTCACGAACTTTGAAAGGGAATTGAGTTAAAGAGTGGTGTTTTGCGACGGAAACCATTCACATTGGGAACTTGAATGTGCAAAAGGCACTATGGTGCTTTTCCGCCTGGGGCCTATTTGCCATCCTACAGTAGTAGCATGTCTTAGTAGTGGTGCAAGCAGTTGTCAGATGCGATGCCTTTTTCATGCATCGCTGGCAACGTCCACGCTCAAAGGCGCGGCGCTCACGATCGCTGAGTCTGTAAAATTTCTTGCAGTCGCAAGAAAAATGGTCTCCGTCGCAAAATCCACACTCTTGCGAAGAACTTGCGCTATCATCCTTCTGCTTGCTTGGACCAGGTTTTGGCGAATTTTCCCGCTTGGGTGCTTCCTTACGTGCATCCTTCTGCTGAACTTCTTTGAGTATGGTCTTCTGCATAGCAAAAATTTGCTCCAATCCATCAAGAGCTTCCTCCAGAAGATCCTTGATTTCGGCCGTACGCGCGTCGACTGTGTGCAGCTCCCGCTGAAAGGGATTGATCGCTTGATGTTGATTGGAAACTTTTGAGTAGTTCATTATTTTTGAGGCAATACCTCATCAATCTTCCGTAGTTTATGCGGTTTGAGTTGAAGATCACTTTTTGGTTTTTCTTTTTCCTTTTTCGAATTTGTCCTTTTCTTAAAAAATGAAGTTTAGGGTACTAAACATTAATTGACAAAAGTTGGATCACTGAATTAGTGTTTTGAACTCAAAATCAAAAAGCGATTGACAGTCAAAAACTTGACATTGGAAATTATATTTTGTGTTCAAGATTAATTTTATTTGGTTATTTGGAATTAGAAGGGTACTTACATGATTGGCGTCGATCTGGTTCTTCATTGACCCCAGATCATCAGTGCGACCCAATATGCGCTGTATCTTGCGGTGCATCAACGGGATCTCCTCTTGCTCCCTATTGACGCGGGGCTCTTGGCGGGGTGGTGGTTGGTGAGGTTGTTCGGCTTCCTTGACGCTGTTGCTCGCGGTTTTCATCGTCCTCCCCAGGCTCCATTGGGACGTCTTCTGGCTCCCCGTTGTTGTCCGCGGCCCCTTGGTCGGCCATTCTCTTAAATCAGTATGATTTGCGACTTGATAGATTGTTAACGGAAAGGAATTACGATACGCGGCCCTATCAGCACGTGTTTGTAGTTTTAAGTTATAGTTAAGAAATTGGGGATTCTTGATCAATTGGTTCGAGATGAGATCAATCACGTTGAAAATTGAGGTAACCTTGGGGTCATATTGAGGTGGAGCACAAAACTGAGTAGGAATGATCAGGATTTGAAGTGTGCATCGTTTAGTGGGTGCGCGCAGAAAAAAAAGTGCGATAAAGAAAAGTTGCTATTCATCAAAACTTCATGCAAGGTACTAAGCGAAATTAAGGGATATGAGTTAATGTATAGCTCAGTCATTAGCGAAAGAAAAGTTTGAAAACAGTGTGGCCGAGCTTAAGAGGCAATCGTAAAATGAAAAGAATGAATTGTATTAAGTTCTTGAAAAATAGAAAAACGAGGCGCGGAGCAAATGCAAACGGTAGAAATGCGAGTGGAGATGTTGATGATCTTGAAGCTGGCTTGGACGGCTTTGTTTTAGTTGAACATAGATACAGCGCGCAGATAAGGGCGAAGCTTGGTATGCTGATGAGAACTATTAATGTGTACATGTAGAATGTTTTGCATATTTCGAAGAAATGGTTGAAGTCAGGAAGGTTCCATTCAATATCGAAAGAGACTGTCGTTTTGAGTATAGTTGTTGAAAATCTTTGCATATCTCCATAACGGTTGTATAGCCGTTGATGTAATTCAATGTTCCTTGAAGTTCTATTATGGTTACTTGAGAGCCACACTGAACGCGACATTGTTCTCTAATTTGTGCCTTGTCGAAGAATAGTCTAATTTCGTTTTGATATCCTGCCCTTGTGCATGTGAGCACAAATTGCCTGATTCCGCATGTTACGTGTGCGATAGATTGTTGCACATTGGTTCGGCACAGTATGGTTGCCGTCGCCCCTTTGTTGCAATTGTAGCATCCAGTAAATGCTGCTGGCACGACCTCACAGTTGAACTCTATGATGTTTTGTGCAAACTGTGTTGTGGCAGGATCTATATATATGGCTGTTTCGATTGAGATGGCCGATGTATGGATTATGGGAAGCCTTTTGGGTCCGGCTATTACTAATCCATTTGAGATTGGGACAGGTAGGGTGTGTGAGAGCGAGCTCATTTCCGAGACGTTATTGTGTGTACAATAACATGAAATTGAGTCCTCCGCTGGATTGCACCTACATGTATCTCGAATGGTGCACATATTCGTGATTGGGTTAGAATTTGAAGAAATTGAGGAGCATGCGTAGCTAAATGAAGTTTCGTCGTCTAAATATGCTACTGTCTTGTTGTTTGTCATAAAACGTTTGAACTGCATTGATGTTGGTAAGAATGAAAATGAAGTTACTTCTATTTTTGTCTTGCCTAGTCTTGCATTTGTGTAAGGTTTGATCTCTCCTGTGTAAGTTCTTTCAGTTTGTGTCTTGTCTATGTACTCAACTTTAAACTTGACAGTTTCATACCAAGAGGGACATTGGAACACTTCGTACACGTCATCATCCGTTGGGACATGGTAAATGCGGTAAAATAGGCACCCTGACGAGGGAAACCCACATGAGCATCCCAGACCACCGCACGATTCTGTGCAGTAAGTGATTCCAGTGAAATTATTTGCTATATCAAGCTCTTCAATCATCGAGTCGGTTGAAATTTGGGCGCATTTGAGTCCCTTGCAAGACCCCATGTGCGGGCATCTTTTGCGGTATTGCACTTGAGTTCGGGTGTTTCGGGTGAAATATAGAGTTTCTTTTTGACATCTCAATATTAGCTCTTGCATGGTAATTTTCATTATATGTGTTTGAAAATCTTCGTATTTGACTTGTAAACACAGTTCGGATTGCATTGCATTGAATTTCGCTATCACGGTCGTGTGATTATGACATATTTGATCTTGTGGATTGCATTGGGTGATGGCCGTTGGTATGAGTACTACTTGCTGGCATCCATAGACTGTTCGACTGATAGTGCTTATTGCTAGAAGTCGTATGAATGTGGAAGTTTTCCATTTCCTATCATTGCTACTGTTAATTTCCACCAAGGGAATATATTCCGTTGACTGTGTTCGTTGAATTCGCCTTCTTAAAAAACATAAGTTTTTTGCCCTTTTGATTTTACTCCAAACTTTTGTGCACCCTCTACATAGCTTCTTGACAGTACGGACCACTAGGTATGCTGTTATGAGAACTATGTAGAAGAGCGTTGCTCCCAACACAATGGCTATTCGAGGCCAACATTCCGGATTGGTGACCATTAGTGTACAAAATGTACAGGCAATTCTGCTCGCAGAATGGACTTGGAGAGCAAGCCCAATGGAATGCTTGAGTCAGGTTGCCCTGTAGCATTTTGACAACTATATGATAAGAATGTAGTGTGATTTCAGCTGGAAATTGCACCTTCATTGACTGTTCGGGATGGTCAATCTCGAAACAGTAGTCATTAGCGCACACATTCACTTTTTCTTGTATTTGTGGCATTCGAATTATTATTCCGCCCTTTGTACATTGAACTATGTCCTCTGCGTTCGTCTTTGAATGCGCGCTTGTGCAAAAGCTCGTCAATAATGTCAACAAGAGCCATCGGTGCCAGTACGCGTTCGAACGGTTCGCGCTCGTATGTTCGTTGTGTGTTTGTGCGACGTTCGCACAGTAATTCGATCGTTCCTTCGCGCGGCGTGGTAGCCATGGTCGAGTTCGTCTGGCCGCATCGTTGTGTTGCGGCGCCGTGGCTTCACCATTCGCTGGTACGCTATTCTTGGCGACCTCTTTTGATGCGTTTGAAAGTTCTTTATCTTGCTCTAAGTTTGATTCATTTATGTGTTCGGGTGTATTCCCTTCCTCGACTTCTAGCGGAATGAGTTGATTTATTGATCTCGTAATTTTGGATTTTGCTGTCTTGAGTTCGACCGTTCTAATGCTGCCGTCTTGATCTTTGATAAGTTTGGTAACTAAACCTAAAGGCCAATCTCCGCGGGTGTGTTCTCTTCCATTCATGAGAACGACTTCACCGACATAAGGCTGCTTCCTTGTGAACTTTTTTGTTTTATTCTCATTTGATGGAAATTTCGTAGTTCTAACAAATAGTTGCTAGTCCAAAATTTCCACAGGTTCTGTAAATAATTGAGTGCTTTTGAAATTGTTGAATTGCTTGTTCTTTCGTTGGAAAGCGTTGGTATGTACTCGGGATCTTCCTCCTCTTGAGTAGTAGAGGGCATAAGATGGACATTCGCGTAGGGAATGATGAAGTCTATTGGACGAAGAATTGCTGAATCTTCTACCGTACTACCCGTGTATGTGAGTGGTCTGGAGTTGACCATGGCCTCGCACTCTGGTATCACAGTAGTAAATTCACTTTCATGCAATAATTTCCTTCTTGCAATTCTTTTGAATATTGACTTCATCACTCCTATCATTCTTTCATAAAACCCCCCTTTCCATGGGGAAAGAGGTGTGATAAATTGCCACCTTATTTCCTCGTTTGTAAGGAAGTTTTGAACTTCTTGACTAGAAATTTTGGTTTGGTCATTTATCGCCGCAATTATTTCCGATCCCAAAGTGAAATTTGTCGCATTGTCAGAAATTACCAGCGTTGGTTTTCCTCTGCGTGCAACAAATCGTCGTAACCCATTGATAAATTCCTTTGCGCTCAAATTGTTGACAATGTCCAAGTGAACAGCTCTCGTTACCATGCATGTTGCGAGCAGGATCCACTTCTTTTGTTCCTTGTTTTCGCTGCTGAGCACGCGAAATGGTCCAGCTAGATCGATGCCGACATGTAAAAAAGGGCGCGCTGGTTCTGTCCGTGATTGCGGCAGTGGCGGGGAGTTTGGATAGAAGAACGGTTTTGAGTTCCACCTTTTGCAATCAGACACGATTTCAAACATCTTTTGACTGTTTGACGTCCTTTCGGAATCCAATAATTGAGCCGTACGTTGGCTAGCGTTCCGTTGACGCCTTGGTGTCCACAGCGACTGTGTCTATCCATGACAAGGAGACGAGTGATATTGTGATTTCTGGGAGAAGAATGGGCTCTTGAGTTTCTTTTGCTATGTGTTTGGCTTGAATTCTTCCACGACATCTAATGAGTCCGCATTGGTCTGTATATAATTGTAAATTGTTGAGTTTCGCGATGCCGTTTTGAGACAGCGTCTTCTGCGCCATTTTAATGAGTATTCTTTCAGCCATCGAAGTGTCGATGGGTTTAAGGGACTTCAACGGCTTGCTGTCCGTTATGGGCTCAATTTCAGGTATGGCTTTCTTTAGTATTTCTTTATTTTCATTTGAAAGTTTGTTGTAAACCATGCATTTGAGAACCTTCAAGACTATCGAGAGAACCCTTTTGTATTTTCGGAATGTTGAATATTCTTTTTGAAAGAGTGTCGATCGGAACTCTGTGTCGTATCTTGTTGCCAGAACCATATGGTGTGGTTCTTCGGATTCGAATTTCTCTGTTGTTTCATTCGACATCCAGGAAAACTCTGGTAAAGTAGGCCACTTTGAGTTTTCATCGAAAAGAAGGGAAGGACCCGTCCACCACATGTGGTTAGGGAGCTGATCTTTGGTTAAACCTTTTGTTGCACAATCCGCTGCATTCATTTCAGATGGCACGTAGTGCAAATGACATCTTATGCCATCGTCTGACCAGCTCTGCATTTTACTTCGAATTTCCGCGCAACGATTATCGACAAATGTTCCGCTTTTGTATTTGATTGAATCCAGTTGAGGGCTACCTGCGAATCGCTGAAAACGTGTATCTCTTTTATTGGTAAGCGTATCTCCCGTATCAGAAAGTTTGTCAGTCGGACACCAATTAGGAGCGCCAAGAGTTCCAACCGTGGTATTGTTACTGTTTTCGCGTTCTTATTGATCGGTGCCAAGCCGCTGTCTCGCCATCAGCAGGCTGCTTCTGATTGTCCCGTCCTCATCGATCGTGCGCAAGTAGCATGCAGCAGCGAACGATCGTATTGACGCATCGACGAATGTGACAATCTCATACCGCTTACTCGCTGCAAGGCTCGCGAGAGCGCGGGGGACCGACGCTTCGAATTCCGCCGCTTGTTCACAGATTGATTGAAATTCTCTATGGAGAACAAGGGGCAATGTTTCGTCCCATTTGTAATTGAGTTTCCACAAGTTTTGAAGGAAGAGTTTGGCAGGTAATAACAAAGGTATAAGCAAACCTAAAGGGTCAAAGGTTGAGTGTGTTGCTTGTAATACTCTGCGTTTCGTTAATGGTGATGAGTACTGGAGCTTGCATCTGATTGAAAATGAATCTTCTTGATGGTCCCATGGTACTCCTAAAATTTTTACTGTTTTGCTGGTTGATAGATCTTTGGGAGCTATCGACTTATTGCAGACAATGTCGTTTGTGATGAATTGGCGAAGGTTCATACTCATGTTATTGAAAACTTGTTTGCTTAGTTGGTATTTTTTGATGAGAGCCTGTGTAGAGTCATCGGTAAGCAGAACATTATCAACGTAGAGGTTGTCATTGAGTTGTTTCTGGAAATTTTTGTCAAGATTCAATTGTTTTTCGATACCATACTTGATCGAAATTCCCAGCAGAAATGGGGATGCATTTATCCCGAATGGTAGTCGACAGAATCGCAGTATTCTGAAGTTTTCCGGTGTTGGTGGTTGTGAATATCTTTGAGCCATAAGGAATCGAACGGCATCTCTCTCTGTTTCTTGTAAGTGGATCATGTGGAATGCCTTTTCGACGTCCGCGATCATTATTTTGGACCCTATTCTTGACCTTATGAGAACTCCACACAAATTGGGTAGTATGAGGGGTCCTTGATGGATCACATCATTGAGGCTTAATTCGCCTTTCATTTTGGAGGATGCGTCGAGAACGATGCGTGTTTTTGTGTTGCGCTTTCTGTTTTGATAACTGCTTGATGTGGGATATAGTAGCACGGTGTGTTTGAATTCGCTTGATAAGGAGGTACATCTTCGATGAAGTTCTTCTTGAGTTGTTCTTCAATGATCTTACAATACTCTTTCCAACATTGAGGATTGCGCTCTTTCATCTTGAATAATTGATGAAGTCTGCTCAGTGCAAGGATTGTAGTTATTGGTTGAGACATTTCTTGTTGGATTTCCATGGGAGACGTACGAATATCTTATTGTCTTTGATTTGCACACTTGAGTAAAAGTCTGCGATGATTTGATTATTGATTTCCTCATCAGTACTCATGTCTTCAATCCCAATGGTGTTGAGTTTCCACAATTCGGATATGTCCATATTTTTGTCATTTGAATCAATTGCTGTGTATGTGTGTACAAGCCTCTTGCTGATAGTGTCCTTTTCAGATTGCGCATCGTCATAGTGAGGAGCTCCTGATATAACCGGTCCGAAGAATGTCGGCGTGAGGAAAAGTCCCGAAGGAAGGCGTATGGTCGGTTGGTTCAATTTCAGTATGGAGTTGAAGTAGTCCATCCCAATAAGTATTTCAGGTACTACTCTGTCGCTGATCATCTGTACGATGCGCTGCGACTCTACGTCGGAATGTTCTTGAATGAAGGAGCTGTCTTGAGGATGTATCGACCCCATCTGAAGAGGGGCTGTTATGTGATCGCTTGTTAGCAGTTCAACCTTGATGTGATCCCCATCTGAGTTGTATAGGGAGGTAATCACTCGTTGTACTCGTTTTTTCTCAGCTCTTCCTCCAAATGTATTCACCACGATGGTGGTATCTTTTTGAGTTTTGAGATTCATTTTTCTCACAAGCGATGTTGATATAAATGATTGGTCAGAAGCAGAATCCAGCAGCGCTAATACTGTTTCATTGTTTTGCCCTTGTGGGGATTGTAATTGCACAGGAACAACCATTAGACGTACGTTGTTGCTGTTCACGAAATTGGTAGTGAATTCATCAGTGACTTCTGCAGGTTGGCTGTCTTGAACTTGTAGGTTAACGGTAATGTTTTCAACAGACCTCCTTCTTGGCTTGGGTGATTGACCGAATCGGACTTGACGCTCAGGTGTTCTCCCAGGTGAAGGGGAGCTCCTGACTGTGCCTCTATTGATTGACGGCTTACATGTTGACCGGGATGATGAGCGTTGTGGGGACTGTTCAGGTCGATGTGAATTGAAACTTCTACTTCTATGAAAATGCTGGTTAGGCGAATGGCTTCTACTTTTGAATGTTCCTCTTGGAGTTTTACTTCGTCGTCGTGGATAATTGGATCGGTAATTGTGTTGTACTTGGAATGGTACCCTGTACCTTTGTCGAGGGACATTAGTGTGCCATTGGTTTCGGTGTCGTTGATCTTGACGACAGATGATTGAACTGTGGGAACCTCCGCAAACGGTGCAGTTCTGTCTTTTACAGAATTCTGTTTGGTGTTTAGGGCTAAAACACTTCCAACATGCGCTGAGTTCCCGTAAGCGCCTTATCTTATCCACAACTGTTGGGTACTTGTTACAGTACTGGAATTTATGTTGTTGGCCGCAACCCGTGCAGCTTATCTTGGTATCAGCAGTTGTGCTTGTGTGGAAAATTGAGCGCTCTTCTTGATATACATCTCTCATCACATCGACGTGTTCTCTACGCCTTATTGCGATTGCTAAGTTGTTTAGGAGATCTGTCATACTCCATAGATTACCGGAATCAAATTCTTTTCTAGCCATTTCGTCCTGAACATTTTTCGAGAATGTGTCGAGGACCATGGTTCGCATATTGGTTGTGTTGATTGTTTCACCCTGTTTTTCTAGGGTGGCTATGATGGCCTGCACATCACTGAGATTATTTCGTAGTGAACGGTGATCGTCTTGACATTGTTTCATCATCTTTAGTTTTCGGATCATTTGCATTGTGATCCGCCTTGGGTCTTGGTATTGACCTTTCAATTGATTGATGGCTTTTTCATATGCTTCACCTGTTCTTGGTATCATTTGAAGGTTCTTGCTGCATCTCCTTTGCAGCAGTTGATAAGAATTGATAATTTTTCGATGTTTGAGTAAGGTTGCTTGTGTACCAGTTCTTGGAATAATTCCCAAAAGGAGTCGAATTCCGAGGGGTCACCATAGAAATTTGGTACCTTGAGTTCGTTTCCTATGAGTCGTCGTTCCAACGTCCAAGTGTTCGCCGGATTCAATTGTTGAAACGAAGTAGTCGAAGGATGGAATTGATTTGAGTTGACTCCTTGATCTCTATTGAATTCTTGTCTGAAGCTTATTTCTTGACATTGTAGTTCCAGTAGTCGCCTTTCTAGTTTGCGCTCTAGTTCTTCAGCTTGGTGGAGCAGGTCCTCTCCCTGTTTCTCGGACCAGTAGTTATCGAATTGTTCTTCTATGTCACCTTTGAGTTTTTGTTCAAGATCATTGATGGATTGATTGCATTCCGCGTGAAAGTCGCAAATCTCATCTCTTCGTTGTTGTAATTTGGACATTAGATTCTTGACCATCATTCCTCTTGAAATGAGAAAAAGCTCCAACTCTTGCGCGTGAGTTGGGAATGTCCATGGCTGCTCGAACTCTCGAGCTTCGTGCAGCAAGCCGTCGAGAATATTGAGATTCCTGGTGAGCTTCTGCTTCGCGTTCTTCATGTTGAAGGGTCGCTGCGACATGTCGTTGCTTGATGTCGCTGGCCGATGTATGGGGTAGATCCTTTGGGAGCACGTGTATGCTAGTGCAGGGAGGATTTCTAAGTGTTAGATATATATACGTTATTCTTATCATATTCATCTTTTTGTTTTCTCATATGTGCTGTGAAGCTTTGATGGAGGGACGTGTACATCTAGATGGAATGTTGTGAGAGGCGTCCAGCTCATCGCGTTGTTTTGAGATTGTTGGAGGCTATCTTCTTGGATGTTTTGAGAGAAGATGGGATTTTGAGCTTTATCTTAAAATGAAAACTTATACGAGAGATCGGTGTTTTTGCTGTTTTCTTGAGAACCACCGTTAGGGTTCAAAGAAAGCGCTTTGTCAGTTGACGCCGCGAGATCTTTTTTTTTGCGAGAAAATCCAAATATAGTCGACTTCACTTGTTCTACTCAATTTTGTTAGGGAATGCTTTTGATGAAAATTTAGTGCTCAGTAAATGGTAGTGTGTGGTTGGGGTGCTGTTCGGCACTCACTTGGCATCTGTGGTGAGATTGGCACTGAAGTCGACGAAATGAGAAGCTTATGTAGCTCCTAGATTGTATTTAGCAGGGGTGCCGTTCGAAGATTTGCATGGGACTATCTCGCGCCTTCTTCGGGATTTTTACTGAGTTGACTTCGCAAGACTTCCAGAGTTCTTTGCTGTGAATGCGTTTTCTGGCTATCGCTCGTTTGTTGTCTTGCTCTATACAGTTCGCGCGATATAGACATAAACATAATATTGCCGGCTATAAGTTGAACTGCAAAGATACCTCTGTTGGCCAGACTGTCGGACTGCCACCCGATTTTTGCAAGTATCCTCTTCGTCGTAAATGCAGTGACCGCGGTAGATTGTTGAATATGGTTGAGTTGAAGAATTGAAATTTGATAATATAACAAACTGAGAGGTGAAAAATAAAATCGAGATCGACGGGTTCCAGGCGTACCATGCTAGGGTACCGATCTTGATGCGCAATTTGGGCCCTAAAAAGCGCATCGCTTGAAAATGATGTTGTGCACAGGTCCTGGAATGCCGTTTTGTAGTTCCAAAATGGATACCTCGATTTGTGTCCTTTGTCTTTATCTTGCATCGTAAATAAAGTTCACTATTTGATTAGCCATTCCCGAGCTGGATTCATGTAGAACGTGAAGTCCAAAATCCAACCTTGATCTTTTGAATATTTTTGATTTTTGATCATGATCCAAATTTGAACGATTTGGCCGATGCACCATGTTTTGGGGCATCACTCCCAAATATAAATGTTGGTGGTTCTACTTATATCTACAAGTACAGAACGCTTTAGCTCATGCCTTTATAGAAGTATATATATACGATTTACAATCTCACAATTATAAAACAACGATCTTAACTATGTATTGATCGATTTATTGAGTTGATTGAAATTGAATTTCTATTGAATTTGATTTTATTGGGATTTCCTTGTCATAGATTAATTAACGTTCCTAACGGGTCCGCCGGCCGTCTCTCAGCAATTTCCCTTCCTCCCGGGTTGGAGCGAGAGGACGAGAATCATGTCTACGGAATCGTACTCCTACGATTCTTCGAGAAAATGGCTGAACGACCGGGCCGCCCGGTGTCAGCGAGTCGACTTGACTGCGGGACGTGGAGCTCTTGCGAGCTATGCCCACAGTAACAGCGATAGCCGCGAGAACGGCAGAAGTGGCTGAAGCCTCTCTATCGCCCGCGGCCGCTATTTATCCCTCGAGGGCGGGGCTTAGGAATATCATGACCTGGGGTCATGACACTCCCGAGGCAGACAGTGAAAGTACCGACAGAAGTAATTTTCTGATTTTTGCCCCAGCATCCTCCCCGCGGAACTTGAATTTTGATTGATAATTGAGATTTGACGGTTTGAAAATTAGGTGTCATGAAAAAGTACAACAAACAGCGAATCACAAACAAAAGAAATTCGACGATCCAAATCCTCAACTACTCAATAATGGTGACGGTAGATGACTGACAGTATATAAAACCTCAAGTACCGTGAGTGGAAACTAATGTAGGTTACTATCTGTCCTCAAAGTTGATCCAAGTCCCTCTGCAATGTCGAGTCGTCGGACCACAGCGGGTAAGTGGTCGATGATCGGCGCATTGGGAATTGAGGATTCAAGACACTCAGTTTTTTAGTTTGTGATTGAGAATTGGTTTCCCTAATTTATATTCTATTTTGCTAAATCTAGCTCTTTTTCTCTTTATTTTTGAGGCTGATTAATTGATTGAATTGCTTGATCCA